TTCTCATATCAGATATAGACAAAAATACAAGTCACAGCTTCGTATCATCCTTTGCAGATGACACAAAAATCAGTATGAAAATTACCTCGGCTGAGGACATTGAAAAACTTCAAGCTGATATTAATAAAGTTTTCGACTGGGCATCAGAAAATAACATGATGTTTAACAGTGATAAATTCCAGGTACTCAGGTACGGTAAAAATGAGGACCTTAAACATAATACAGAGTACAAAACACAATCAAATGTACCCATAGTAGGAAAACAGCATGTAAAGGATTTGGGAATAATAATGTCTGACGACCTAACGTTTAAGGAGCATAACCAAGCAAATATTGCGACAGCCAGAAAAATGATAGGATGGATTACGAGAACTTTCAAATCCAGGGATCCCATCACAATGGTTGTACTCTTCAAGGCACTTGTGTTGTCCCGTCTTGAGTACTGCTCAGTACTCACTTCCCCCTTCAAAGCAGGAGAGATTGCTGAAATAGAGGGAATACAGAGAACATATACGGCACGCATAGATGCAATAAAGCACCTAAATTATTGGGATCGTCTCAAAGCCCTCCAAATGTACTCACTAGAAAGAAGACGAGAGAGATATCAAATAATATACACCTGGAAGATACTGGAGGGCCAAGTACCAAATCTACACAGTAAAATAACAACGTACTGGAGTGAACGACATGGAAGAAAATGTAGAATAGAACCAATGAAGAGCAGAGGTGCCATAGGCACAATCAGAGAACACTGTACTGTATAAACATCAGAGGTCCGCGGTTGTTCAACGTCCTCCCAGCAAGCATAAGAAATATTGCCGGAACAACCGTGGACATTTTCAAGAGGAAACTAGATTTATTCCTCCAAGGAGTGCCGGACCAACCGGGCTGTGGTGGGTATGTGGGCCTGCGGGCCGCTCCAAGCAACAGACTGGTGGACCAAACTCTCACAAGTCGAGCCTGGCCTCGGGCCGGGCTTGGGGAGTAGACGAACTCCCAGAACCCCATCAACCAGGTATCAACCAGGTATCAACCAGGTAAAGACCTAGGACGAAAATTGAGGTGACCAGAGTGAAAAGAGTGAACACATTTTATCGCTTTTGCGTGCTCCTGGGTAACTCGTTCGCACTTTCTCTGTTTGCTGCGGGTAATTAGCCGGGCTTTTAGAGTTTATATGCATTTAGTGCTGTAGAGAATTCTATTGTGAACACAATGATACCAAATTTAATCTTGTAGGACGAGAATTGAGGTGACAAAGTTGAAGAGAGTATACACTTTTCAGAATTACCGTGCGCTCCCATGAAACGCTGGGCCCCAAATCGCATAGTTGAGGGGTGGCGCGCTGGGTGCGCGAAAGTGTTAAGTTCACTTAGAATTGAACTGTTTATTCACACTTCACCCAAACAAGCCTTCCTGAACCCCACAGAAAGATATAGATGGATATATATAGAGAGATATGTCACTATAAAAGAGAAATTTCATTACATTCAATACTGGTTTGCCCAAAACTGTGGTAGGAAGAAAAATTACAAAAATATTGAAATTCTATAAGCATGAGGAATTGGATGATAATTTAATTATCAGGAGAAAGTACTGAGCCATTAGGACAATATATAATGCTTACAAATGATTAATGAAGCACTGAAGTGTGAGGCTGGCTGTTGGCAGCGTACATAAGTCTGTAGCATTAACCAGGACCTTTTGAACTTAAAGATCAGTAGAGGGCAACTCTACAAGTTGGAAAGATTTTATGAAAACAATACAGTATAACCCAGAGGCAGCAAAATGCATTAATCAACACCTGTCTAATACAAAAAACAGGTGAACAAATAAATGTTTAATATATTTTCTGCACAATTACTGTACTGTATTCATATGCACAGTAAATTATTATTATTATTATTATACATAATTTGCTACTGTACTAGTCCCAGTATAAAAAAAACAGGGACAATTTTGTGATAGGACTTAAGTCAAAATGGAGCAATTATCTGACACTTCAGATAAGGTCCAGAACGACATGGTCCAGATGAATTAGCTTACTGTAGCTTAGGTTGGGCTGGGTCGGATTCACATGGGTATGTTTAGTTACCTTTTAAATGGGTCTCCTAGTACAGTCGGCTTTGCTCTAGATTCACAATCGGAGATCACAGGCTCAATTCTCGGGCACGACAAAAATAGGTGGGCACATTTCCTTTCACCTAATGCCTCTATTCATCTAGCAGTAAAAAAGTACTATATCTGGGGGATGGACAACTGTTTACTCAAATTTACCTGAGGGCCACAATATCTTTAGCTGCCTCGACGAGGACAGAAAGCCGGCATCTTGTCAAAGGTCTTCCCATTTTTCCAAATTATTTTTTACATAAGAATATAAGAACAAAGGTAACTGCAGAAGGCCTATAGGCCCATACGAGACAGCTCCTATTTATAATCACCCAATCCCACTCATATACATGTCCAACCCATGCTTGAAACAATCGAGGGACCCCACCTCCACCACGTTTCGTGGTAATTGGTTCCACAAATCAACAACCGTTACCAAAACCAGTATTTACCCAAGTCTATTTACCAAGTGAATTTATATACATTCTATAGTATGGTTCCCAAAACTGAACTGCATAATCTAAATGGGACCTAACCAGAGCAAGATATAGCTGAAGAACAACACTAGGTGTCTTGTTACTAACGCTTTGATTAATAAATCCCAGTGTCCTATTTGCCTTATTACAAACATTCATGCATTGATCCTTTGGCTTTAAATTCTTAATAATCATAACTCCCAGATCCCTTTCGCAATCCGACTTCGCAATCTCAACACCATCTAGCTCGTATCTTGTAACTCTATCATCATTACCTAGCCTCAGAACTTTACATTTATCAGCATTAAACTGCATCTGCCAATCTTTTCATCATTTCAAAACCATATTTAGATCAACTTGAAGTGATAATGAGTCTTCTTCCATGTTAATTTCCCCCCTGCCGATTTTTTTATTGGCGGCAAATTTGCAAATGTTGCTACTCAAGCCTGAATCTAAATCATTTATATATATTATAAACAACAGAGGTCCCAGGACAGAGCCTTGAGGCACTCCACTTACAACATTTTCCCACTCTGACTTAACCCCATTTATACTAACTCTCCGTTTCCTTTGGTATAGCCATGCCCTAATCCAACTTAATAGCACCCCCATTACCATGAGCCTCTATCTTTTTAATCAGTCTTTCATGTGGTACTGTATCAAAAGCTTTGCTGAAGTTAAGGTACACAACATCACAATCCTTACCACTATCAACTGCCTCAACTATGCTGGAATAAAAAGATAGCAAATTTGTTAAACATGAACAGCCATTTGTAAAACCATGTTGCGACTCATTTATTAATTTATGTTTTTCAGGATGAAGACGAATTTTATTTGCAATTTTCTATTCAAGTAACTTTCCCACAATAAACGTTAGACTAATAGCCGATAGTTTGACGCAAGTGATCCATCTCCTTTCTTAAAAATTGGTACCACATTAGCTACCTTCCATGACTCTGGCACTCTACCTAACTCTATTGATTTATTAAATATGGTAGACAGTGGCTCGGAAAGCTCCTCCTTGCATTCTTTAAGCACCCTGGCAAACACTTCATCCGACCCTGGGGATTTGTTTCGTTTGAGTTTTACCATTTGTTTAATTACATCCTCCCTGATAACTGCTAAACTAGTCAACTTGTCCTCGTCCCCACCCACATAAACTTGTTCGGCTGAAGGCATATCGAGTTCCTCTTTAGTAAATACAGATATAAAATATTTATTAAAAATACTACTCATCTCTTCGTCATTATCCGTTATTTGACCAGTTTTTAATGGACCTATCCTTTCCCTAATCTTTGTTCGATACTAGTATAACATGAAAAAATCCTTAAGGATTTGTCTTTACTTGCCCTGCTATGCAAACTTCATAGTTTCGTTTTGCTTTCCTTATCTATTGTTTTATAATTTCTAACCAGTTGTACGAAATCCTGTTCTAAACTGACCTCCCCATTCTTAATCCTTTTGTACCACGCTCTCTTTTTACCTATAAGGTTCTTCAAATCCTTTGTTATCCACTTTGGATCATTAGTATTCAATCTATTCAATTTGTATGGTATACTACGTCCCTGTGCTTTGCTTAGAATATTTTTAAATAAGTTATATTTTGAATCCACATCAAAATCCCATTTTACGTCACCCATCTCTGAGTTCACGTCTTGCTCCAAGACCAGCCCACCCCCCATGCCCAAGACTTTCCAATCTATTTGACTCAAAAAATTTCTTAGATTATTGAAATCTGCTTTTCGAAAATCTGGCACTTTAACAGAATTTTATCCTACAGATCTATTCCATTCTATGCTTAATCTGATTTCTTTGTGATCACTGTTCCCTAGCTCATTCCCTATTTCGATGTCATTAATTTGTGTTTTTCAAGCTGAATTTTAAAATTCAGCAGTTTTGGTATTTACAGCTTCGGTAGGTAGGCAGTTCCATGGGTTTATATCCCTGTGGGAGAAAAAGCATACAGTTTTCAGTTCTATATTGTGACTTAGTGAGCTTGAAACTGTTGCTCCTAGTTGTTACATCTGATCTTTTGAAGTTATCTAGATTAATATTCTCCAAATTGTTCAGTGTTTTAAGTTTCTACGAGATCCGCCCTGTCAGCTCTGTTTTACAGTGTTGTTAGTCCTGTGGCCCTCAACCGTTCTTGGTATGAGACTTGACTTAATTCTGGAATGATTATTGTTGCCCGGTGTTGAACTTTCTCCTAAGCAGTGGTCTTTCCAAAGATGAGACGTGTAATTCCATCTTAGGGAAGGCTAGTAGTTCGACCCTGGGGGGGGAACTCGATACAAGTCTAAAGTATATATAAAAACTATATATATACAGGCTTCCTGTCACCATTAAAAAACACACGAAAATTTAAAGTTGGGAATGAGATACGAACAGGGACGCTTGCCAGAGTTCTGGGATACTCACTGACATCCTTTTTGTCTTCAGGATCTCTTTCAAGTTTCCTCTTGACCCTGGGTAATGGAATATCGAGGTGGGTCGCCATGGAGGCGACGTGCAACGTTCCGGGGTTTGTTTGTGGGAATGTTTGCTTCACTGTCTCGCACCTCCTCCCGAACCCGTTCCCTGCACCGCTTCGAGACCTCGACCATGGACCTAGAGGGTCGAAACCCCCGAGACACTGAACCTCCGAAACAGTGGTGCAGCCAGCTGGTGACAACCAGCTATTTCGTGCGTGAATATGAGTAAATGTTATGTTGATCCATTTATTAAACCTGCTATTTAATAAATGTGTCCACTTATTCATGTAATGTTGGGAGGAATATAAACATTCATGTTGTCTGCCCAGGTCAATTTTTCTTGAACAGACCTTTGTTCACATCTTCTGCTCGAATCATACTGCTCACAATGCTTACTCCCTTTTATTGGAAATGAACTAAACTAACTAAACTTGTAAATACAACCCGTATTCATAAAACAAATAAAAAATCATGTAATTTTTATAATTCTTTTATCGTTTTTTCCTGTTTTAATTAAATTTATGTTTTGATCTCAATTAGTTCTAAGTTTTAGCTTGTCTAAGTATTTTTTCCACATCTTCACTCCTTTCCAAATTACTGCCCCCCCCCCTTTCCCACCCAAGAAGCTAATTAAATCAACAACAAAAATATCACATCAATAAACTTCTTTTAATAACTATATACCTTTTAAGTAAAAATTTTTACCTGTTAATAGCATTATATTGTGGCTTTAATATTGAACAATTATACGAAACGTACAAATTTTGTGTCCGAAATGGTAAAAAAAAAAAAATATGTGTGTGCGAGATGCGTGTTGTGTACCAAGTGTCCAGTGTCCCCGAGACAAGAGAGGAAGATGTCGGCTGCTGGACGTCTGATCGCTGCTTCTCTTGTACGGTATTCAACTGGGATTGCTATACAGCGGAACATTTGCTCCACAGGTGCGCTTAAACCTTCGTAAAGTAGAATATATATAGAACAGATTATTAATAATAATGGAAATTAATAGCTGCTTCAAACCCAAGTAGGCATACCTTACACAGGTCTTTCCCGGTGTAGCTGTTTATTTACCTGAATTTACCTGAAGTCCACTAACACTCCAGTGGCGTCGACGAGGACAGGAAGCTGAAGGCGTGTCAAAGTTCTCCCCATTTGTTCTGGTGATTTTTTCAAGCTGTTCAACAGAGTTTTGGCGTTTACGGCTTCGGCAGGTAGGCGGTTCCATGGGTTTATAACCCTGTGGGTGAAAATGCATCTCCTGTTTTCTGTCCTACATTGTGGCTTGGTAAGCTTCAAGCTGTTGCTCCTCGTTTGTGTTACATCTGACCTTTTGAAGAATTTGTCTTGATCAATATACAAATTGTTCAGTTTAATTCCAGTCTCCATGGTGCAGTGGTAAGACACTCGCCTGGCGTTCCGCGAGCGCTATGTCATGGGTTCGTATCCTGGCCGGGGAGGATTTACTGGGCGCAATTCCTTAACTGTAGCCTCTGTTTAACTCAACAGTAAAATGTGTACTTGGTTGTAACAACGATTCTTCGCAGCGGGGATCGTATTCCAGGGACCTGCACGAAACGCTACGCGTACTAGTGGCTGTACAAGAATGTAACAACTCTTGTATATATCTCAAAAAAAAAAAAAAAAAAAAAGTTTCAATGAGATCCACCCTCTCTTGTCTGGTTTGCAGTGTTGTAAGCCCTGTGGCCCTCAACTGTTCCTGGTGTGAGAGTTGACATCGTTCTGTAATGATTTTTGTTGCCCGGCTACCCATCTTGTGGCTACCTCGTGTAGATATTGGGGACCAACAGTCCCAAGGCCCGGTCTCCGACCAGGCCTTCTGGTTGGTCGTCTGGTCAACGAGGCTGTTGGACGCGGCTGCTCGCACCCTGACGTATAAATCACAGCCTGGTTGATCGGGTATTGTTTGGAGGCGTTTGTCGAGTTCTCTCTTGAACACTGTGAGAGACTGGCCAGTTATGCTCCTTACGTGTAACAGTGGAGTGTTGAACAGTCTTGGGCCCTTGATGATGTTAGTGCTCTCTCAGCGTACCTATTGCACCTCTGCTTTTCAATGGGGGGTATTTTGCACATCCTGCCATGCTTACATGTCTCATGTGATGTTATTTGTGTGTTCAGATTTGGAACCAGACCCCTTTAATATCTTCTGCGTGTGGATTATTATGTATCTCTCCCGCTTACGCTCTAAAGACAATACAGATTTAGAACTTCTAATCGGTCCCAATAATTAATATTACTTACAGAGTGGATTCTAGCGGTAAATGATCTTTGCACGCTCTCCAGGTCAGCCATTTCTCCGGCTCTGAATGGGGCTGTTAGAGTGCAACAATATTCCACCCTAGAGAGCACTAGTGTCTTGTAAATTATTATTGGTATGGCATCCCTTGTTTGGAAGGTCCTTGTTTTCCAACCTGTAATTTTTTCTTGTAGTCGTGACAGCTACTTGATGTGTTCTGTAAAGTTAAGATATTCTAACATGATTATTCCTAGATCCTTTACATTCATTTTTCGTTCTATAATGTAATTTGATTTCGTTTTATATATGGTTTTCGTTTTTATATTTTCATTTTTTTGTAGTGCAGGAACTGGAACTTATTTTCATAAACATCATATTATTATGTGGCCCATTGAAAGACCTGATTTACATCCGATTGGAGGTTTGCCATGGCTTCTATATTGTCTTCTTGCATGCACATCCTAGTGTCATCTGCAAATGATGATAGTGCTGTAGTTTGTATCCTTGTCTGTCTGATATTAGGATGAGAAAAAGAACTGGAGCAAGTACGGTACCTTGGGTACCATACTATAAACACCATGAAGTAGCTGTCACGACTACAAGGAAAATTACAGGTTGGAAAACAAGGACCTTCCAAATAAGGGATGCCATACCAATGATAATACAGTACTACAAGTTCAAGAGAGAAAACTGGATAAACACCTCCAAAGGATACCTGATCAACCAGGCTGTGATTCGTACATCAGGCTGCGAGCAGTTGCGTCCAACAGCCTGGTTGACCAGTCCAGCAACCAGGAGGCCTGGTCGACGGCCGAGCCGCGGGGATGCTAAGCCCCGGAAGCACCTCAAGGTAACCTCAAGGTTGGGGGACTGAGCTTTTGACAGTAGATGATCCGAATTTTACTGTGTGACTATTACACTCTGCATTCTGTTCATTAGGAAATTAAAGATCCATCTCCCTACTTAGCCAGTAATTCCTTTTGCACACATTTTGTGTGCAATAACACCATTGTCACATTTGTCGAAAGCTTTTGCAAAGTCTTTGTATATTACATCTGCGTTTTGCTTATCTTCCATGGCACCTAAGGCCATGTCATAGTGATCTAGCAACTGTGAGAGGCAGGAGCGCCCTTTTCTAAACCCATGTTGTCCAGGGTTATGTTGATGTTGTGATTCCATGTGATTTGTAATCTTACAAATTTACAAAACCCTTCCTCATTTGAGCTCGGCTCTGCTTTTCCTTATTAGGTGCGTTACGAGGTACCGGAGTCATCCTGGTTAGCAGACTGTACTTTCTTTTCGTTTTGGGCGTAGCATTCGTTCTGTCGGACCCGGAGGTATCGGAGTCATCCTGGTTAGCAGACTGTACTTTCTTTTCGTTTTGGGCGTAGCATTCGTTCTGTCGGACCCGGAGGTATCGGAGTCATCCTGGTTAGCAGACTGTACTTTCTTTTCGTTTGGGGCGTAGCATTTGTTCTGTCAGACCCGCACGCTTGAGTGGCAGGAAACTTCTAATGTGGTTCAGGTTTACTTAGGGGGCGAGTTGGAGCACCTCAATGCATGCTTCTTCGCCCCCATTCTTCCTAAGGATATTGGTCAGGTGCAGCTCCATGTGCAGGTTCCCGTACTTTCAGCATTGTTAGTAACTGAGGATTTGCGTGCCCGGGGCATCCGGAAAGTTTTGGCTTCAGTTTTGTGTTTTTTTTCCTTGCTCGAGCTGTCTTCAGACAGGCTTGAGGAGGATGTGGAGGCACTTGGGACCATTCCTGTGTCTGGTGCGCTTGCCTCAGCAGTTCGAGCGTCAGGTGCCTTGTTGAAGTTGATTCTTTCCCAGCTTGCCGGGTTTAGGTTCTTGGTGAACTGGAGGAAGTCCCATCTGGTTTCCTTGTGTCTTCCTCCGGTGTCATTGCTGCAGTTGCAGTTCCGCCTTCAGCTGTTTCTGGGGGCTCCCGGGTCAGTTGTCGGTAGCTCAAGCATCTGTGCAGGAGTCTGAACTTCGCTGTGCTGGTTTACTCACCAGATTGGGTCTGGCTTTGGCAGCTGTTCTTGTTCCTTCAGGGACATCCCTTCTGCCGCTCTCGCGATCGTTGGGGTTGGCCAACAGGGGCCTAGCGACGGCTGCTGTGTCGCCGACTTCCTCTTTGGGTTCGTCAGGGTTCAGTGCCATAGTGCCTCCTTGAGCCCTCGCTCGATGTATACACAGATGCGTCGTCTCTTGGTTGGGGTTATGTGACCAGTGCTCATCAGGCCAGCCAGAGATGGTGGGGGTCTGTCTTTCCGTGAGACTCACAGCACGGTGCGGGAGTTCGTGGCGGTGTGGCTGTCGCTTCGGAAGGTTCGTGTCACTCGCTGATCGACGATCCGGCTCCATTCGGACTGTGCCCCAGTAATTCACTGCCTAAACTGCGGGGTTTCGATGCGGTCCTTGGCTCTTTGGGGCTGGTCATTTCAGGTGATTTGTCTGCTGAGTTCTCTGGGTTTGGCTCTCCTGGCAGTTCACATACAGGGCGTGTCCAACGTCCTGGTGGATGGCCTGTCCCGGTTCATTCCCCTCTCCACGGATTGTACGGGTTGACGCCGACTCGTTCAGTTGGCTCTGTTGGATCTCTTCGCGTCGGCATGGTCGAGGCATTTCCTGGTATATGTGGCCCCCTTTCCTGTCTGCGAGGCCATCGGGGTCGATGCCTTTTGACAAGACGGGTCGAGGTAGGGTTACCTATACCTCTTCCCATTGGTTCTGCTGCTGTTTCGGGTCCTGGCTCGTTCGGAGACTTACCAGGGAAGTGTAGTCATGTTGGCCCCTTCGTGGCCTGCCCAGCTTTGGTTTCTGGTGCTGCTTGCTTGGTGTCCGAACTGGGGGACGTTTACCCAGCTCCGCCTCTTTCAGTAGATAGGTCCTCCAGTCCGGTACGTGGCTGGTTCGATCTTCTCCGATCTTTGCATCTGGTCTTTCTGACGTGGGTTTAACACCATTTGTATGGTGATTAGGCGGCGGCTTTGATAGTGTCCTACCTGTGAGTTTCATCTCAGTGGCAGTATGAAGTCTCCTGGCGTTTCTTTCGTTCCTTTTTGTCTCTTTGTAGGTTGTCTTTGATTTCGGATCGGGCTGTCTCATCCTTTCTCTCTCTTGGTTGTTTCAGGACCTTCATCTTATGCAAAAATACTGTCACCTTGTATCGTGCAGTGCTGTAGGTTTGCTGCATTGATTGGCGTGTTTGGTAACATGTCTTGGGCTGATATTCAGGCATGGGGATTTTGGAGGTCAGACAGGGTCCTGGCCGCCCGTTCTTTGGTTAACTTTCCTGCTCCTGGGGATTCCTGTGTTGCTTTGGGTCGCAGGTTGCAGCCAGTTGTCTCAACATCGCATTCAGGAGTTTGTTGGCGGCCGCCTCCTGGGTACGTCCCTCTTTTCCTTATCTTTGGTTATATAGCTCCAGGGAGCTATGAAGTGGCTCTCTACAGAAAACCAGCGTTGAATGTAATGAAACGGCATTTTCTGGGTAAGCCCCGGAGGCTCCCTGGCAGCCCTCCCTCCCTTCCGGTCGGCGTTTTTTCGCGTAGTTTGATACTTAGCTTATGAACTGGATGACTGAGTAGCCGGCACGGGGAGGGGAGGGTTATTTTATTACCATGTAGGGTTTGTTTTGTTATGCCTACCTATCTGGGTGCCTAACCCCAGTCTGTGGCAGATAAGGACAACCCCCAACCACATGGATTTTTTTCAGGACCATTGCTTCCTGCAACCTCTCTGAAGGGGCCAGGTTCTAGCTTGTGGTCCCTGGTAGGTCGAACTACATAGCTAATGCCCGTCTAATATATCACACATTAGCCCGATAGCTTTAGGGAGCCTCTGGGGCTCACCCAGAAAATGGCATTTCATTACATTCAGCGCTGGTTTCTTTGTAACAGGCAGCTGAGTACTGTACTGGCAACCTTACCAAAAGTGAAATTCTGTGCAAGCAAAATTGCACTACTATTTACTGATTTCTGTCCATTATTTTAATTACTAATTCCTACACTATATACTGTTCAAGCAAATAATATTGTGATGGTGCAGTGTAATGAAGCGCTAATATAAAATTGCCAGCATTAAAATTTATTTAATATAAATTTTTTTTCAGCATGTTCTTTGGGAATAAAATCTCGTTGGGTGGCCCCATATCGAAGAGAATTGCTGAAAAGGCAAAAAATAATGGTGAAGAAAGGCCTTGCACCCAGTTCTAGGCGATCAGAATTTATTGAATGGTGAGTACAGTACTTTACTTTTGTACTTTGATTAGTACAGTATTACTGTACTTTATGACAAAGATGGTATCTCCCATTGCCCATTCAGGTTTTGGTAGCTGAAAGAGGGTGTCAGACATGGTCACAGCCTTGAGAATGATAGCCTGTAGGTGGTACTTCAGGACACATTTTATTTATTTTAAAGATGGTGGACATTTGCCTGAGGCATCAAGGCATGAATGACATTTGGAGAACCAGAGGGATACTAAAACAATTAAAACTGGGTAAATTGAGGTTCCAGTAAGTTAGGTAATAGCTGGTTCTGATATTTCTAAATTTTTGAACCAATTTTATATTTTATTAATCTGTTGTGTGGCTTCCTCAGTTGTTGCATTTAAGGTTTGTATATTAGAATAATAATGAGGGTTTTGTTCTCTATTTTTATTCCTACAGTATTACCTACCCTACCACTTTTGCAAAGTACATTTAAGCTGTTTACACTCCACATCTTAAATTATATTATGGTATCCAAACTGTAGTCTCCATTGGGATTATATTTTGTGAGTGTTCCAGACACTGCATTTAACACTTTCGTCCGGGCATGACACAATGCTGCGTCGTCCACTAAAATAATCGCCAAAAATCAGGTTTTTATCCGATTTTTGGGGGACTGGTTTTAAAATGCGCGCCTATCGTGATGGAACAACCTCAGTGCAGCAGGTAACTGTCAACAAGCCGAATGCAATCTGTGACTACAATACAAACATGAAAGGTGTTGATCACTTTGACCAAATGATCCAATATTATCACTTCACAAGGAAAACTCACAAATGGACGAGGAAAATGACCTTATATTCTGTGCAAATGGCTATCTACAATGCTTATGTGATGTACAACTACTACACAACAGATAGAAGGACTCCACTAAACATATGTGAGCAGGAATTGGGAGTGTAGCTGGAAGGTGTCTGGGCTCTCACTTGCGGCTAACGTGTGGCCCGTCTTCAACTCGTCGGCGGGTGGAGCATGACCAGGTTTTTTTTATTTTGTATGCTAATATTCCTCTAGAGACTTTTATTGCGAACCCATTGATACCAAAATGAAAGACCTAGGACGAAAATTGAGGTGACCAGAGTGAAAAGAGTGAACACATTTTATCGCTTTTGCGCGCTCCTTGGTAACTCGTTCGCACTTTCTCTGTTTGCTGCGGGTAATTAGCCGGGCTTTTGGAGTTTATATGCATTTAGTGCTGTAGAGAATTCTATTGCGAACACAATGATACCAAATTTAATCTCGTAGGATGAGATTTGAGGTGACAAAGTTGAAGAGGGTATACACTTTTCAGAATTACTGTGCGCTCCCATGAAATGCTGGGACCACATCGCATAGTTGAGGGGTGGCGCGGCGGGTGCATCAAAGTGTTAACTTCTAGGTCATTTATGAATGGAACTTTTCTGGGGAAGTCCCTTGTGGCTCCTTGAAGCTATCTCACTGAGATGGCTCCCAACTACTAGGTCACTCCAGCGTGTAATATTCTTTGGTCTACTGAGAACCAGAGCTAGAACCTGGCTCTCCTCATTGAGGTGTGTAGAATAGGTGACATTCTGCCACCACCAGAAAAATGTTTAGAAAGTCAGCAGATCAATACAGACCATTGCTGGGTTCAAGGACACCAAAGCCTCACAAATTGCCAAATGAAGTTCCCCCCCAACAGTGTAAACGAATGATTGAATCTCTTGAAACAAGCTCGAGCTCAATAGCTCTCACTAGCATGGTCATTAAGACGAGATCTTTCAAAGAAAGAGAGAGAAGCTGAAACTGACCCTCATAGTGGCAAAACCCCTAAATGAGAGCAGAAATGACGATATAAATAATTTTTTCTACAAGACGATAGGGGTAGGCAAGCCTGTGAAATGGTACAAAAAGGCAAACCAACAAAATCACTAAAGAACGGCATAAAGAACAAGGGGAGAAGGAATATGTTCCTGAAAATTGTATACACTAACATAGATGGAGTAAGATGATAAATTCTGGAGCTAAGTGATGTAATACAGCTGTAGATTTGTAAACATCATCCTGGAGATATTCGTGTATCAACACTTGAAACAAACTATGAGGATGAAGGAATGGGATGTTATGTCCATGCTGGATTTGATAAGTCACCAGGAAAGAGGAAGATATATTTGACATTCAGTATCTTCCACCCTTGGGCAAAAGGGACATATGTCCTTTTGGGAATAAAGTATGCAACGCGTTATAATCTAGATGATGAGGAAGTTTAAGCAGTTGGAAATAAACAGATTTCAGGAGAGAACACTCTGGAAACTTAGAAAGTTCTTAAATGAATTTGATTGGAAAGACTTGCTGTTAGGCAAGGGAGTGAATGAGATGTCAAAGTTTGTGAAATGTATGATAAAGGAACAAAAAAGTTTATACTGAAAGAGAGATGCAGAACTAGGAACCACATAAAGAACATTGTGCAAGGTGCCTATGCTATGCTTTCCAATTTAGAATTGCTCTTAAATACATGGATGGGGAAATATTAAGAAAATTGTTCATGGCATTTGTGAGACCAAAACTAGAATATACAGCGGTTGTATGGTGCCCATATCTTAAGAACCACATCAACAAACTGGGAAAGGTGCAGTCATTCAACTAATGACTCGCAGAACTGAAAGACAAGAGTTACTAGGCATAAGAGGCATAAATATGCCAAAACTAGAAGGTAGCAGAAAAGGCAGCTATGTGATTACTAAGTACAAAATAGTAACAGGAATTGACAAAATTGATAGGGAAGATTTCCCGAGACCTGAAACTTCAAGAACAAGAGGCATAGATTTAAACTAAACAAAGCTGCTGAAGAAATGTAAGAAAATTCTTTTACAAACAGGGTGGTAGAAGGTTTGATTCAGGGAGACGAGTTTTCATATACTTTTCCTTTGTTTGATCTTAATGTGGCTTCCTCCAGGGTATGTTTCCTTGTGCCTCTCAGCCTATTGGATGTGTCTTTCTGCAGGTTTCCTTCCTCTTGGGTCCCTCCATTCGTGTCTTGGGCAGATCTTTTCAAGTACCTCCTGTGAGACCCAGAGTTTGCCTCTGTAATGGACCTTGCCTCTTTTGAGTTTCTTTTCTTTGCCATATTGGCTGTGCTATGAAAGCCTGAAGTCTTCCTGGCTAGTGGACAATACATTTTTTCCTTTGTGACTTGGTGCAGTTTCTGCCATTCCTGAATGCTGGAGTGGCAAAAGGTGTGGACTGTGTTCTTATAAACAATTAAATGACTGCCTGTTTACTCCTGCTCTTTCCTGGGACATAGGGTTGATGCAGTTCTAGACCCAGTTGCCTCTGCTATCAGTGGAATCCATGGCAGAAGATTTGTGGAGTTACTTGCACTTGGCTATGGTCATGCAATTTTGGACCTCATGGAGCTCCTTACTGTACTGACTAGCTCCGTAAGGATGTTAATGCACTTGACTCTGGGATGTGTACAGGTGCCATAATAGTGTTGGTGGCTTTGGCCAAGCTATATATTCCTATGCTCTAGGTGGTGTTGACAAGGTTCTACCCTGTCTCGTGTGTCAACAGGCTGTGTTGGCCTAGTCATTAGATTCGCCTTGGTCCTTGGCCCTTTTTCACCTCGCCTTCCAAAGGATGTGGTTGCTCAATTTTTCTTCTATGGCTACCTCTACAAGAAGCTTGGATATTTAAGATCATAGCATACAAATGGCATGAAATCTTCCTTGGCTCATCAGCAAATTTCCTTAGTATAATAATTAACTTTTTAATTTGTGTTTCTGTGGGGAGCCCCTACGGCTCCCTGGAGCTTATCGGGCTAATGTATGTTATATTAGACCGGGACATTAGCTAAGGAGTTCAGACCTACCAGGGACCATCGCCAGAACCTGGCCCCTTCAGAGAGGTTTCAGGGAGCAATGGCCCTGGAAAACGCTCTTGTGGTTGGGGTTTTCCTTATCTGCCATCGACCGGGGTTAGGCACCCAGAAAGGTAGGCATAACAAAACAAACCCCACATGGTAAAAAACTAAAAACAAAAAATTGAACAGAGAGGTAGAAGCTCCCTACAATCCCAAGGAAACAAGCAAACATCACACTTTACTGCCGCGCCGATCTGCACAGCCCTCCCCGCCCCAAGAGGGGGAGGGGGAAGCACCGGACCTACCGCGCCGGCTGCCTAGCATCAGTTCGTAAGCTAATGTCAACCGGGATAGACGCTTCTCTGGCCTCAGTTTCCTAGGCGGTGTTTGCCTTGTGTGGCGTTCACTGCCGTGTGTTGTGTTGTGTGGTGGCCAGGAGTACCTCATCAGTGCCGGGGCTGCATTCGCTTAGGGGCTGTTGCCTCTGGAGACGGTGTACTTTTGTGGGGTTTTTCTTTTGTTTTTATATTTATTTGCCTGGTGGGGGTCTGCCTAGTGTGGCTATAGTTCCACTGGTAGTGTTTGGTGGCCCTCTGCTAGGGCCCCGTGATTGTACACATCGCAGGGGTTTTCAGTGTTGTCCTCTACCCCCTTGATTTTTTGGGGTTTCTTAACTTGTTAGCAACACCTTGCCCGGGTGTCCCGTAGCAGTCAGCCTACAGGCCCTGGAAACCCCTGTCTGGGCTCGGTGGACCATTGAATGTGTGTTCCGGGTTCGAACCCGTCTTGTATGGGTTCGTTGGTTGCTGTGCCCGTGTCTCCGGGTGACAGTCGCCACTTTTACCTCCGTCATGCTGCTTGTTGGGTCACTGACACCTTAACCCGGAGTCTTGTAAGAGAGATTCTCTGCTTATTCTCCAGTACTCTCCTGATGTTATTACTGTTCAGAGTACAGGCGGCATCCACGTTGCAAGCTAGGTTAGGTTGCTGCAACATGCTAGGTTGGTTTCCCACTCGGATGCCCCGGGGCCACCCCGTTTTGGTTAGGTGCTGTTCGCCCCTTTCCCTCCCTGTTCCCGGCTCCGGACGGTCTGCGGGTTTCGGGGTTGAGGCGGGGTTTAGTAGGGGCCGAGACTCGGGCAGTTTTCGGGGGCTGCCCCGTTCGGGTTGGGGACGGAGGTTTTCGAGCCTGTTCCTCCTGCCAAGGCTTCTGGGTCTTACCAACGGCCCTTTCCCATGGACTCTTCCTTTTCTTTAAGGGCGGAGGGCTTGGAGGACGGCTTTGCCCCGGGGCCTCTGTTGCGGGTTCCCGGGGCTGTGGGGGATGCCTGCTAGCAGTTCTGGGGCGGTTGGCCCCGTGCCGGGGTTTTCTGCTTCTGGGCTGAGTTTTTCGCCCGTCCAGTCTGCTTGCTTCCCACTTTTGCTGGCGTGTTTTCGTATGTTTTGCGTCAGCCACAGCCCTCTGTTCTGGTGGCGGTTTTCTTTTGCCGGTTTTCCGGCGTGGCCACCAGGGCGGCGTTGCGGTTTGTTTATATGCGCCTGGGTGTGCAAGCGAGTGTTCTTGGGTGAGTTTTTCACCTTTTTTCAGGGGTTTTATTCTCCTGTTGTCATTTCTATGCTTTTCTGGTGTTTTCTGCCCGTTTCCTGTTCCTCTGGGAACGTTTGAGTGTCGATTTTACACCGGGTTGTCCGTTTTGTCTGTTTTGGGTCTGGGCTCAGTGTTCCTGTCTGTTATGCTTGCTCCCACACCTTGTCCCTCGGTTTTCGGTCTGTTTTGACCGTTTCCCTGGAGGTTCTGTCTGGGGGGCTGTGCTTTGCCTTTCTGTGGTGTATCTCCTCTGGCAAATGTGGTGGTTTGGGCTCCCCCTGGTTCGATTCCGGGTTCCTTTGGGTTCTTTGGTTTCGTTCCGGAGGTTTCTTCCTCTTGGGCCCCCTTTGTGGGTTCAGGGGGCTTTGTTTCCTCGTGTGTGACCCGGTTTTGCCTTCTGAGGTTCCGGGGTCTTCCTGGCTTGCAGACTGATCTTTTTGGGTCTTGGCACGTGTTGTGGTCGTGCTGGGACTTTGGGGTTTTGTTGTCGAGGTGGGCCTTTTGATGCAGTTTTGTGCCTTCTTCGCTTGGCCGGCGTGGTGCTCTCTGCCCACTGGTCGGCGGCTTATAAATTTCTTTTCTTTTCTTAATTATTTTCTTATTTTAGCATGTGTGTGTGTGCATACGCATGTACATGTGTACACTGTGTGTGTGTGCACATGTGTATGTGCATATGCACGTGTGTGTAACATACCTTGTGTGTATATGTATAGGTATGTGTATGTGTATATACATAATGTGTGTGTGTATGTATACTTTTTCTTTCGGAAGGGGCTCTGTTCTCTTTTCTGTTGATGGGGCGCTGGGGGGGACAGCTTGCTCTGTTGGCTCTCGCATGGTCCCGCAGTTAGTGGGTGCTTTTGGTTGTCTTCCGGCCTCTGGTGGCGGTGGTGGACGGCTTCTCTCCCTTTGGGGGTTCAGGGCTGGCGGGGTGGGCTTCTTTCCCTGCGCTTTGTCATGTCATCTTAGTGGGTGTGTTGGACGTGGTCGTTCCGCCCCATCCTTCTGGAGTTCCTGTCTGCTCTATGCAGATATGGGCCTGTTGAATCTGCGGTTCTTCTGAACTTCTTCAGTCTGCGCCCTGGATTCTATGCCCTCATCGGAGGACTGTTGTCTCCTGTCCGGCTTCTGTTGGGGCTGGGGGCCTGGAAGGTAGCCCTGGACCTCCAGGTCAATTCTTGGCACGTTCCTCTCCACTTTTCCGGGACTGGCACAGTTGGTGGTGGGGCTACAGGCCCCACCACCACCACTTTTGTTGTCTTCCCTATTTTGTAATTGGCACTGGGTGTATTTATGCATCTTTACCGGATCTTGGTGCCCTGTGTGAGTCTGCTTGGGATTCGGTGTCTGGCCTATCTCGACGACTGGCTGGTGTGGGCTCCCAGTCGGTCCACTTGTCTGCTCGCCTGGGGTGTGGTTCTTTCCAGATCGCCGGGTTTGGTTTCCTGGTGATGTGGAGTCCATTCCATCTGTTTCCGTCCCGGGTTCGGACCTGGCTGGGTCTTGTTTAGGGCTCTTGGGCCGCTCCTTGTCTTTCCCTCCAGAAGTGTTGCTGCAGCTGTGGTCCCGCCTTCGGCTGTTCATGAGGGGGTTCCGGGTTGCTCGGCGGTTGCTCGAGCAGTTGTGCGGGAGTCTGAACTTTGACGTTCTGCTCTGCCCGCAGGGTCGGGTTTGGCTTCGGCGTATGTTTGGTTCTTTTGGAGACTCCTCTGCCGCCTCTCTTGCAATCGTTGGGTTCGTTCTTCCGGGGATCTTGTGTTGGTGCTGCGTCACCAGCTTCTGCTGCTCACCAGGTCGGCCGGGGATGGTGGGGTCTGTCCGTCTATCGGGCTCACAGCACGGTTCACGAGTTCGTGGCTGTCTGGTTTGCGCTTCACAGGGTTTGGGTCACTCGGTGCTCTACCATTCAGCTCCATTCAGACTGTTCTCTGGCGGTTCTTTGCCAGAACCACAGGATTTCTCTTAGGTGTTTGACCTTTGGGGTTGGTCCCTTAGAGTGGCTTGTTTGCTGGATTCTCGGGGTTTGGCTAACCGTGAGGTTCATGTCTGGGGTGTGTCCTGCGTCCTGGTGGACAGCTGTCTCAGTTCATTCCTCTGTTCGCGGATTGGCCAGTTGTCGTTGACTCATTTCATTGACTCTGCTGGGCGTATGGACTCCTGGCCATGGACGTCTTCGAGTCGGCGTGGTCTAGGCGTCGCCCGTTCTATGTGGCGCCCTTACCCGCTTACAAGGCGTTCACGGTGGATGCATTTTGGCAGGACTGGTCGAGGTGGGGGTACCTGGTCCTCTTCTCCCGGTCCAGCTATTGCTTCAGGTTCTGGCTCGGTTGGAGCCCATTCCCACGAGAGTAGTCCTTATGGTCCCTTGGTGGCCGGCCCAACTTTATTTTCAGACACTGCTTGATAGGTGTCCGAACCCGGGGCATTTTCCCGCGGCACCGCCTCTTTCAGCAGGTCGGACTGGTCTTGTACATGACTGGTTTGGCCTTCTCCTTGGCTCTTCGCATCTGGTATTTAGACGCGGGTATCACCATCTCTGTGGTGATCAGGTGGCTTTATTGACAGTGTCCCACCTGCGAGCTCCTCTCGGTGACAGTATGATGTTCCTGGTGTTTCTATGCACTTTTTTCTTGCTCTTCGTAGGTTGTCTTCTCTTTCGCATTGGGTTGTCTTGTCCTTTCTTGGGTTTTCAGGACTACAGCTAATTGATGTTTCTTACTGTCGCCTCGTTTTGTCCGGCGCTGGCGGAGCTGCTCCGGCTTGGGTTTCGTACGCTTTCTCCTGTTTTGTTTCACCTCCAGCCTGCTCATGCGTCACCTGGGCCGTCCTGGTCCTTGATCAGGGGTGTCTTCTTATCTTCTTCTCAGTTTGTGGTAGTCCCTTCGGTTCAGGTTTCTGCTCTTTGGTTCTGGTGGTAGGTTTGTATGTTTGCAGCCTTTCTCCGTCCTTCTGGCGACGGGCGAGACGGCTGCTTTCCGGAGGGGTTCTTGGGTTATTGATGCTTGATTGGTTAGGCTGGGGGTGCATCCTGTGTTATCCGGTTGCGCTTTTTGCCGTTACCTGTGTACCGTGTCTGGGGATGCACTTTGGGTTGATCTGGGTTCCCTTCGTTCCCTATTTCAGGGCTCGGGTCTCCCAGGTCGTCCGCAGAGGTTTTAAGTCTTCCAGCCTGCGGTCTGTCTTTGCGCCCATGCTGTTCAGACGTTTGCAGCTTTTGCTGCTGTGTTTGTGACGTCTAGGGCTCATTTCAGGTGCAGAGATTTCAGGGTCGTACAGGTTCTTGGCTGCCCATTCTTTATGCGCGTCTGCTCCTGTGCGTTCTTGTTGCATTGGGTCGCAGGTTGCAGCCTGTTGTCTCAGCTTCGCATTGCGGAGTTTGTGGCGGCCGCGTCCCGGGTCAGCCCTTTCTTTTCCTTCTCTATGGGTATGAAGCTCCAGGGAGCCGTAAGGGCTCCCCACAGAAAACCAGCGTTAAATGTAATGAAACGCTATTTTCTGGGTGAGCCCCGGAGGCTCCCTGGCAACCCTCCCTCCCATCGGTCAGCGTTTTTTCGCATTGGTTGAAGCTTAGCTTCCGAACTGATGCTAGGCAGCCGGCGCAGTAGGTCCGGGGCTCCCCCCTCCCGCTCTCGGGGCGGAGAGGGCTGCGCGGACGATCGACGCGGCAGTAAAATGTGATGTTTGCTTGTTTCTTTGGGATTGTAGGGAGTTTCTACCTCTCTGTTCGTTTTTTGTTTTAGTTTTTTACCATGTGGGATTTATTTTGTTATGCCTACCTTTCTGGTTGCCTAACCCCGGTTGATAGCAGATAAGGAAAACCCCAACCACAAGGGGGTTTTCTAGGGCCATTGCTCCCTGAAACCTCTCTGAAGGGGCCAGGTTCTGGTGCTGGTCCCTGGTAGGTCTGAACTCCTTAGCTAATGTCCCGATCTAATATAACATACATTAGCCCGATAAGCTCCAGGGAGCCTCCGGGGCTCACCCAGAAAATGGCATTTCATTACATTCAACGCTGGTTTTTTGCCAATGTGTACTTCTGTGGTGGTATTTGCAACCTGATCTTTGGTGTTTTCTAGGTTTTCTGACATCCTGCATTCTTTGTACTCTCTATCATATAACGCTTTGAAGAGATTTCTGTGCAAGACATGTGAAATCCTTTCTTAAACTACCAAGAGACCTTGTAAACGACTGGGCCTCAGGTACATTGATCCTTGGAGCCAATGCAAGGTTGTCATTTCACACTACATTTAATGACTTAAGAGTTTTATCTCTGGCTTAAAACCTCTCTCCCAGTCATACTTATTCCCATAATTGTAATTGTGAGAATTAAAAAATAAAACTAGATTCATTATGCAAGCAGGTGGTGTGGTATGGGGGGGAAATACCATGTATTTACTTCCTCTTAGGATATTATAAATTGCTTATTGTGGTTATGAAGAAGATGTACTCTACATTCAAAACACAAGTTTAATGGTTTGTCAAATAGTATCATATCTCATAATTCATACTTCTTATCACAGGACTTTCATTTGTTATGCTGCCTACAGGAATTATGATGCAGAGTTGTTTGCATTTGGCAAGAGATTGCAAGAAGAATTTAATGGAGAACTGTTGCGCGAGGCCTTGACTGATTCCTCTTACATTGCTCAAGAGACTGTTCGTCAACAGGCCCTCGATGTTGATGTCCCTGCTCTTGATATGAACAGCAACAAACAATTGGCAGCAGCTGGAGAAAAAATTATATTAGATTATTGTACAAAGTATTTGAGAGCATCTCTTCCACTCTTGCCAGAGGAGGGTATCAGGTAATTAAATCTTGTTCATAATTTTGACTGTTAGATATTGAACAAAATGTGGTCTATGTATATGGTTGCAGGTAATACCAAAATATTGCAGTAAATTTTAAATTTGGAATTTGTCTTGGGATATTAAGTACAAGGGTACCTCGGTTTAAGAGTTTAGTCTGTTCCTGGAGACGGCTCGTAACCCGGAAACTCGTAAACCGAAGCTGATTTCCCCCATAAAAAATAATGGGAAATGAGTTAATCCTTTCCTGACTACCCAAAAACCTCACTTCAAACTAAATTTTATACCTAATTCTTCGAAATCTACACTACAAAAGTATGTTCAAGTTATTACTTACCCTTGTTGATGACTGCTGTTGGCGTATGGAAGATGGTGAGGAGGAGGGAGGAGAAGAGGTGTTACTGTTTGGAAGGGGAGTCTCCTTCCATTATAACATCAGGCAGTGAGAACTTCTCTGGTGTGCACTTGGGCACGTTTTGCCTGCATACCACTAGGACTTGCTTGTGGCTCACGGCTTGCTTGTCTTACTAAGAATCTGTCTAAAGACACTTGTTTTTCCTTACATTTTAACACTTGTCTGTAGTAAGACATCACATTGTCATTTAAAAGGTCAATGCAATGGCCTGCTACAGCTTTATTTGGGTGAGCTTTTTCAACAAAACTTTGCAGTTCTTTCCATGCTTCACACATTTTCTTAATGAAGAAGGGACATCCTCTACTGCCTCTACTCAAAATAATTTTTTTAGATTGAACCATACCACTGGCTTTCTTGGGACCCATGGTGAGATATATAATAAAAAAATTTTATGCTCAAATGGCAAAAAATCCGAAAAGAAACAGTAAATCCTTGTGAAAAATTCAGGTGGGATAGTCACTGGGCGCGAGGCACTTGTAAACTGAGTGGTGATCGCTGTGCCACCACGTGCTAGGTCGGCCCGTACGCGTATCAACACCCCTCGTATCCTGAGGCAATGCTCGTATCCCGATACAAATTTTCAGAGCAAATCCTGCTCGTAACCCAAAAAACTTGTAACCAGTGGTGCTCGTAAGCTGAGGTACCACTGTATCTTTTCTTTTGCTTCTCTAGATAAATAAATACTATATAAGCACTTTTGTTCTGTAATACTATATTGAACAAAATGTGGTCTATGTATATGGTTGCAGGTAATACCAAAATATTGCAGTAAATTTTAAATTTGGAATTTGTCTTGGGATATTAAGTACAAGGGTACCTCGGTTTAAGAGTTTAGTCTGTTCCTGGAGACGGCTCGTAACCCGGAAACTCGTAAACCGAAGCTGATTTCCCCCATAAAAAATAATGGGAAATGAGTTAATCCTTTCCTGACTACCCAAAAACCTCACTTCAAACTAAATTTTATACCTAATTCTTCGAAATCTACACTACAAAAGTATGTTCAAGTTATTACTTACCCTTGTTGATGACTGCTGTTGGCGTATGGAAGATGGTGAGGAGGAGGGAGGAGAAGAGGTGTTACTGTTTGGAAGGGGAGTCTCCTTCCATTATAACATCAGGCAGTGAGAACTTCTCTGGTGTGCACTCGGGCACGTTTTGCCTGCATACCACTAGGACTTGCTTGTGGCTCACGGCTTGCTTGTCTTACTAAGAATCTGTCTAAAGACACTTGTTTTTCCTTACATTTTAACACTTGTCTGTAGTAAGACATCACATTGTCATTTAAAAGGTCAATGCAATGGCCTGCTACAGCTTTATTTGGGTGAGTTTTTTCAACAAAACTTTGCAGTTCTTTCCATGCTTCACACATTTTCTTAATGAAGAAGGGACATCCTCTACTGCCTCTACTCAAAACAATTTTTTTAGATTGAACCATACCACTGGCTTTCTTGGGACCCATGGTGAGATATATAATAAAAAATTTTATGCTCAAATGGCAAAAAATCCGAAAAGAAACAGTAAATCCTTGTGAAAAATTCAGGTGGGATAGTCACTGGGCGCGAGGCACTTGTAAACTGAGTGGTGATCGCTGTGCCACCACGTGCTAGGTCGGCCCGTACGCGTATCAACACCCCTCGTATCCTGAGGCAATGCTCGTATCCCGATACAAATTTTCAGAGCAAATCCTGCTCGTAACCCAAAAAACTTGTAACCAGTGGTGCTCGTAAGCTGAGGTACCACTGTATCTTTTCTTTTGCTTCTCTAGATAAATAAATACTATATAAGCACTTTTGTTCTGTAATACTGTTTTTGTCGGATAAAATTTTGCTTGTGCATTGCTATTGTTGACAATTTTCTGTAAATTTACTAAACTGTCACTGATAAATCTTTAAGCATAATTTCCATATTTGTATTGACTGACTTTATTGATTGGAAATGTCTCTTGATCACGCTAATGATCAAGCCAAATCTAATTAAATATGAATGAATATTTTTTTATTTTTTTCCAGAGCTTTAGTCGAGTATTTATCTTCAGAGGAAGTCATGTCGGACATTGGATTTGGCATTGGACTAAAGGATCTAATTCTATGTCAGGTAAGGCAAGATACAGTAATTACCTTATTTTCTTGGATGGTTTCATGTGCTAGCAGTTTGGTTAGTGGCAGACTGTTAATCATGGAAGACTTCAACAATGGAAAGATAAACTGAGAGAATAGGGAACAGACTCATGGATAGCTAAACTATTGGATGTAACAACGAGAAACTTTCTGACATGTCCAGGGACTCGCAAGAATGAGAGGCAATAACAAACCAGCTAAACTTGATCTGATATTCACCCCGGAATGAGTCAGACATAAGGGAATTCAAATTCGAAGCCTCCGTGTGAATGAGTGATCACAGTGTATTGATATTTGAATATCTGGTGGAAGTAGGAATGCTCTACCAAAGGAAAGGACCAGTTAAGAGGGCTGCAGTACCGAAGGGAAAACTTTGATGAGATGAGAAAAGTTCCTAATAGGAATACTATAGGAAACTGAACCCGAAGAAAAGTCTGTAAAAGCCATGATGGATTACATCACTCAGAAGTGCCAGGAGGCAGAAGAAAAGGTTATCCCGGTTCAGAAAAGAAAAAAGAGTGAAAAGCAAAAGTGGAGTCTGGTTTAATCGGGCATGGGAGGAAGGAAGCCATTTAAATATAAAGGCATGGAGGAACAATTGAAAGCAGAGGGAGATGCCAGAATACGAGAATGACTTCATGAAAATGATGTAGCAAATAATGCCAAAACTGAACCAACACTGCTCCATGGCCACATCAGTAGGAAAACAGTGAAAGAACAAGCGATGAAGCTGCAAAAGGGGGAAGAAGAGTTATACAGAATGACAAGGTGTGTAATTTCCTAAGTGTAGTTACAGGATGAGAGCTACGCTCGTGGTGTCCCGTCTTCCCAGCACTCTTTGTCATATAACGCTTTGAAACTACTGATGATTTTGGCCTCCACCACCTTCTCACCTAACTTGTTCCAACTGTCTACCACTCTGTTTGCGAAAGTGAATTTTCTTATATTTCTTCGGCATCTGTGTTTAGTTAGTTTAAATCTATAACCTCTTGTTCTTGAAGTTCCAGGTCTCAGAAAATCTTCCCTATCAATTTTATCAATTCCTGTTACTATTGTGTACGTAGTGATCATATCGCCTCTTTTTCGTCTGTTTTCTAGTTTTGGCATATTTAATGCCTCTAACCTCTCCTCGTAGCTCATATCCTTCAGTTCTGGGAGCCACTTAGTAGCTTGTCTTTGCACCTTTTCCAGTTTGTTGATGTGCTTTTTTTATATATGGGCACCATACAACCATTGCATATTCCAGCTTTGGTCTAACAAAAGTCATGAACAGTTCCTTTAGTATTTCATCATCCATGTATTTAAAAGCAATTCTGAAGCTAGAAAGTGTAGCATAGGCCCCTCACACAATGTTCTTAATACCTGCTTGATAGGGCTCTGGGAGCTCTTCTACTCCCCAAGCCCGGCCCAAGGTCAGACTTGACTTGTGAGAGTTTGGTCTACCAGGCTGTTGCTTGGAGCGGCCCTCAGGCCCACATACCCATCACAGCCCGGTTGGTCCGGCACTCCTTGAAGAAAACAATCTAGTTTCCTCTTGAAGATGTCTACGGTTGTTCCGGCAATATTTCTGATGCTCGCTGATAGGACGTTGAACAACCATGGACCTCTGATGTTCATACACTGTTCTCTGATTGTGCCCATGGCACCTCTGCTCTTCACTGGTTCTATTCTGCATTTTCTTCCATGTCGTTCACTCCAGTACATTGTTATTTTACTGTGCAGATTTGGGACCTGTCCCTCCAGTATTTTCTATGTGTATATTATTTGGTATCTCTTTAGTCTCTTTTCTAGTGAGTACATTTGGAGAGTTTTGAGACGATCCCAATAATTTAGATGCTTTATCTCGTCTATACGTACCGTATATGTTCTCTGTATTCCTTCTATTTCAGCAATCTCTCCTGCTCTGAAGGGGGAAGTGAGTACTGAGCAGTACTCAAGACGGGACAACACAAGTGATTTGAAGAAAGCAACCATTGTGATATGATCTCTGGACTTGAATGTTCTCGTAATTCATCCTATCATTTTTCTCGCTGACGCAATACTTGCTTGATTATGCTCCCTAAACGTTAGGTCGTCGGACATCATTATTCCCAAATCCTTGACATGCTGTTTTCCTACTATGGGCAGATTCGATGTGTTTTGTACCCTGTATTATGTTTCAGATCCTCATTTTTGCCGTATCTGAGTACCTGGAATTTATCACCGTTAAACATCATGTTATTTTCTGCTGCCCAATCGAAAACTTTGTTAATATTGTTTGTAGTTTATCAATGTCTTCAGCAGAGGTAATTTTCATGCTGATTTTTGCATCATCTGCAAAGGATGACACGAAGCTGTGACTTGTGTTTTTGTCTATATCTGATATGAGAATAAGGAACAACAGTGGTGCAAGGACTGTACCTTGAGGTACAGAGCTTTTTACTGCGCTCGGACTCGATTTTACTCGATTGACTGCTACTCTTTGTGTTCTGTTTGACAGGAAATTGAGTATCCAGCATCCTACTTTACCAGTTATACCCATTGACCTCATTTTGTGTGCAATCACTCCATGGTCATATTTGTCAAATGCCTTTGCAAAATCTGTGTATACGACATCTGCATTATGTTTTTCTTCTAATGCCTCAGTGATTTTGTCATAGTGGTCAAGTAGCTATGAGAGGCATGATCTTCTTGCTCTAAATCCATGTTAGCCTGGATTGTGGAGGTCATTGGTTTCTATGAATCTAGTGACCTGACTCCTGATCACTCTCTCAAATACTTTTATTATGTGGGATGTTAGTGCAACTGGTCTATAATTCTTTGCCAATGCTTTGTTACCTCCCTTGTGTAGAGGGGCAATGTCTGCTGCTTTAAGCGCATCTGGTATCTCCCCCATGTCCAAGCTCTTCCTCCACACTATACTGAGTGCCTGTGCTACTGGCACTTTGCATTTCTTTATAAATATTGAATTCCATGAGTCTGGCTGAGTACATGGGCATATTGTCAATTTCTCTTTCAAAATCTGCTATGCTCGTGTTGATATCAGTTATATTTACAGGTGTTTGGGTATCATTCATAAAGAAATTGTCCGAATCTTCCACTTTCATGCTGTGAATCAGAATGCTAAATATGTCCTCATACTGCTTTTTTAGGATTTCACTAATTTCTTTGTCATTCTCAGTGTATGAACCTTCACTAATACGTATAGGTCCAATACTGCCAGTGGTTTTCGCTTTTGATTTGGTATATGTGAAGAAATATTTTGGGTTTTTCTTTAGTTCTTGAATTGCTTTCTGTTCTAGTTGCCTTTCTTCAGTCTGATATGACTGAAGGATTAATGTAATCCTCAGGTGATAGTTTTCTATCTAGAACCACGCCTAGATCTCTCTCTTTTTCAGACTTCTTGAAGAGAACAATTTGTGAAGAACTAAAGAGATTCCAGGTCTTTGCTAGGAACAGAAAGAAGTCCCCAAACTAAGAGAGGAGGCAATAAACCAGGTAGCTTTGGAAGATTTGAAATTACGACTGGGCCGCGGGGTCGCTGAGCCCCGGAATCACCTCAAGGTAACCTCAAGGTAAGGTACCTGAGATAAGGTTAAGAAGTATCTGCTTGATCTGGACATGACAAAGGCTGTTGGACCTGACAGAATCTCACCATGGGTACTAAAAAAGGGTGCAGAAGCATTTTTGAATACCCCTCTCTATGGTATATAGAAAGTCACTGTAAACAGGAGAACTACCACAAAGTTGGAAGACAACTAACTTCGTCCCATTACACAGGCCAGACACATTAAACTACAGGCTGCTGTCTCCTAACTTGTGTGCCATGCAAGGTGATGGAGAAGTTCGTGAGGAAAAATCTAGTAGCACATCCAGAGAGAATGGACTTTGACACACCACCACCATGTGTTCAGGGATATCAAATCCTGTCTCAGAGGGTTAATAGAAATCTATGACTAACTGACAAAAATTAAGCAAGAAAGAGAGGGGTGAGCAGACTATTTACGTGGACTGCCAGAAAGCATTTGACACTATTCCATAAGAGGCTGGTGTGTAAGTTGGAGAATGTCAGGAGTTACAGGCAAAGTGCTCCAGTGGATAAGAGATTACTTAAGCAACAGAAAACAGTGTTTCTTTAAAGGATGAGACCCCAAAATGGTGAGATGTCGCCAGTGGAGTCCCACCAGGTTTAGTACTTGGAACTATCCTGCTTCTGATATACTGTACGTCGATGATCTCCCAGATGGTATAGACGTATTCCTCGCAGTGTTTGCTGATGACGCAAAAACTATGAGAAGAATTAAGACAGAGGACAGCAAGAAACTACAAGATGACCTAGATAAACTCAAGGAATGGTCCAACAAATGGCTACTAGAGTTTAACTCAAGCAAGTGTAAAGTAATAAAAATAGGTGTAGGGAGCAGGAGGCCAGATAAAAGGTACCATTTGGGAGATGAAATCCTTCAGGAATCAGGAGGGAAAAATCTAGGGGTTGAAATCACACTGGACCTGTCCTCTGAAGCCCATATCAAGCCAATATTATCAGCAGAATATGCTTGGTTGGCCAACATAAGAACTGCTTTTAGAAACTTGTGTAAGGAATCATTCAGGACCTTGAATAGTATATATGTCAGATCAATCCTGAAGTATGCAGCTCCAGTGTGGAGCCCGTACCTAGTCAAGCACAAGACAAATTTAGAGAATGTTCAGAGGTACTAGTTTACCTACTAGTGGAGTATTAGTCTATCAGACTAGTACTCCACTAGTAGCTGAGGAGCAGGAGCTATGAGGAAAGACTACTGCATTTAAACCTTATGTTACTAGAAGACAGAAAAGTTAAGGGAGATATGATTTCCATCTACAAGAATCTCAGTGGATTGACAATGTAGACAAAATATTTAGCATGGGTGGTACACGAACAAAGGGACACAGGTGGAAGCTGAGTACCCAAATGAGTACCCAAAAAAGAAACCTTTTCAGTGTCAGAGTAGTTAGTAA